GTATAAAATTAAACTGAAATCCTCAATCAAAATACATTTTTTTTGTGAATTTTACTTTTTATTTTTTGGATATTGTCAAATGTCGTATTTTGTTACCCTGTCACCACCGACACAAGGGTGGAAAGATAGAATTCTGAATTGTTTATGAGCAAGCAGGGGAAACAAGATTTCTTGCTAAAGTACGTGTTGTGGACATCTCCTTCAATTTTTGAAATGTTTTCTTCCCAATAGAAAATCTATGCTACAGCAGCAATATCGATGTTGAAAATTATCGTGGCCAGTTATAGAGCATAAAGCTCATATTAGGTTCGTAAGAATTGTTGATATTTATTTATTATTAGTATTATATAGTTTTGACTGTTGATAAATAAGAAATCGAGATGAATTAGTTTATGGTATTGACTAATATTTCTGTTTTGACTAATGATGTTTAAAATAAATAGTTTGAACTTTAATTGCGAGTGGGGCATGCCAGCCCATCATTAAAATCTATAAAACGTGAGAATTTGACACTAAATCACCCATTCTTCAGGTTATAGTTTTTTATTTTACAATTAAATAAAAATATTTCAAAGATTATGTAAGTAGTAACTTAGCAGGAAGGCTTAAAATAGTTGAAACGGGTTTAAGAGTAATGATTTTGGCCTATGGTTATGGGAGTATCCGATTATTGAAAATCAAACGAATTTTAAGTTTGTAACTTAATAAATTAATGTCCCTAAATTCATTGGGAGACATAAAAACTTAAAGAACTTTAAGAAGTTTGTATGGAGTTTAGTTAAGAGGCAATTGAAAGGACATTTTGTATTCAATGGAACTAGGAGGTTAAATAACTTTAGGAAAACTAATATTAATTAATTGATATTTATCTAAGTAAAGTAATTAAAGGATTGGAATGTAGTATAATATATTCAAAAAGCTGATGGATTTAAATAATATTTAATCCATAGTAAATAACCAGAATTTTCAATTAGAGTTGTCTGGGATTGAGGAAATATTAATATGCTCACTGATAGACGGCTTTTGTAATTAGTTTTCGTAATTGAACATTTTATGCTTTTCAGACATATGCATTAAATGAAGTAGTGGTTTTTAATGGTCATCGATCTGTTTATTTACCTGTCTACAACGCTTAAAATGTGCACCAAGTAAAAAAAAATTATAGAATATACTTAATTTTGTTACATCAATAGTTAAAGGAAATTGTGGTATATTCATTTTAAAATATTATTCATGTACTTTTTTACTTTCAGAAATCTGATACTACCAAAAGATTTATGGCAAGGTTTGATATAATCATAAAATGTACAATATAAAAACTAATTGAGCCAATTGAGCAGTTTTTTCATGAATAGAGCCAATATACAGGGTGTCCCGGAACTCTCTACCAATATTTTAGGGCATTGATCCTGGGTAAGAAACGTACTAAAATATCATATTTAAATTGTCCGGAAGTCCTTAGTCACTCACACAGCCGCCATTTTGTTTTTTCAGTTATTAATTTTTTTCTAAAGAATGGTTAACTATACGAAATGGAAACTTTGCACAAACATTTATGACAACTAGACAAAGCTGCAAAAAAATTATGAAGATTTTTCAAATTCATAAAACAAAATGGCGGCCATTTAAAATTTTCTTTCTTAAATAACTCAAAAACCATTGATTTTACAAAAATTTTAAATTACCGCCATTTTGTTTTATGAATTTGAAAAATCGTGATAACTTTTTGATAGCTTTGTCTAGTTGTCATAAATGTTTGTGCAAAGTTTCCATTTCGTATGTTTAACCATTCTTTAGAAAAAAATTAATAACTAAAAAAAAAACAAAATGGTGGCTGTGTGAGTAACTAAGGACTTCCGGACAGTTTAAATATGATATTTAGTTATGTTTCTTACCCAGGCGCAATGCCCTAAAATATTGGTAGAGAGTTCCGGGACACCCTGTATATATTCACAGGCTTAATGGAGTTAAAGTAGTCATAATTTATTTTTTAATGGAATAAGAAGTGTACTTGTGAGTCTATGGATAAAAAAATATACTCATGGACAAATATTGTTGATCTTTTTAACCACTAAGTTAGATATTGTGTCTATTCTTTTACTATGTATTGTTTACAATTTTAACCAATTATACATAGAACTCATTACAAAAGCAATTACATGATAAAAATTATTATTATTATTTACCAATGCTAAATGAATTGGTGCACGAAACACAAAAACGATTTTATAACAAACTGGTCTACCCTCCTCGCCAATCTTGCTATTTCCTGATGATTCGAAATCCCTTTGGAATCTGACAATGTCACGCCAATAATCAGCAAAATCTTCACTATCTCTCGCATTTTATCTCTGACAAACAGATAAAGTTGATTGATACGTGTGTATTAACAACCTGCTTTCCGTTCGTCTCACTCTCAGAGTAGTTAACGCTATCCGTTCTAATTTAATCACCTGTTCAGTGGTCTGTTATCTCTCATCACCTCCAAAGGTGTTATCGTTAAGTGCCATCACAACAAAGCAAGTCTACACAAACACTTGTAATGGAACCCCGCTTATAACCAAAATATAAAGGTTCGATCCTAGAAATGTCGTAAGGTTTGTCTTAGGTTTGATGGTTTGAAAATGAACCTTACTGACCCAGATCTTAACAAGTAGTTGGTCCTATTTAATAAGTTAATGAGGCTACACAGTTAATGCATTTTGAACTCTACACTGATTATGCAATCCAGCTTAAAGCCACACAAAATTGCAGCCTTGTCTTAAAATTATTAAAAACTGAAAACGACTTTAAAGTGAATATGTGATAAGATAATTCTGCTTAACTGTTAAACATGAAAACCCAATAACTACATCATAAATTCCAAGCCGATATCGGAATATTGGCACAGAACGCTCTCAATCGTGAAAAGCCTTTAGAAAGGTGGCGAACAGATGATTAGTTTAACTTGGCAGATCCTTTCAGTGGTTTAGAGCTTACATCGGGGACTAAATAAACAATGATGTATAAACTAAAGAAACATGTGTAACAATCATAATTAAAGATTTTTTTATTAATGTATAGCTGAGAAGTCAATTATGGAAATTTACTTGAGTAAGCCCTATACATGTTGCAAATGGTAATAATTTAATATAAAAAAATGAAGAAAAAGTTGCTTATGGAGTGGAGAGAAAGAGAGAGAGAGAGAGAGAGAGAGAGAGAGAGAGAGAGAGAGGATTATTGTTCGTTATTGTTGTATTAACTACTATTCGTTACTATGTAGTTAAAGAGTGTACATTTTCTATTATACTGTATGTTGAAAGGATCGCGTATACCACAAATTCAAACGAAATTTTTAGTTGATTTATAGACAGAACATTTGAAAAAATGTGAAAGGCTTTGAAGTATACATTTTTTCAAATACCCAAGCGGATAGGGGATTTAAGTGAACCCGAGTTTTACTGTACTGTACTAGATGTTAATGGATTTGTATTTAATTTTTGATCTATGTTAATAACCGATTAAAATGTTTTTAATAAAATACCAGAAGAACAAATGTTTTTTTAGAGTAAAGTACATTTCTACAAATGTTATAAAAGACGATCAAGTGTGTAATTGGTATGCGGTGGTATATAAACATAACTACCAATATGCATAAATCGTGTAATACCATTAGGTCTCTTAGATTTCCAGGTACGAACTTAGTTTTACCAAATTAGCAACTAACATGCTTCCTTACTTAACTTAATTCAAACCAACCTGGACCATGGATTTTCCAACATCCGGTTGTTTTTGGTAAATACTAACTACGTATATATTTGGTGTCGATGACGACGCAGGGATTTTCGAAGGTTTCAGTGGTTGTTTCACCTAGTCACTCATCACTGGTAATTTTACTGTTGTTGGTAAGACTGATTGTTCGCGGTAAAACGATATTTTTACTCAAGTTTCCCGTATTTCATTTTTTATCCGTTATAAGAAAAACAAACAACACACAAAAAAATGGCTTGTGAAGCCAAGTAAAATGTGCTCCTTAACAAAGTCTATTGATTTAATTCCAAGCGTCCATTCCTGGGCCTGGAAAACACGAGTTTTTAGTTCTATAAATCGTCTGCAAAATCATCGTTTTCGGGTAACTTCAAGTAGCGAACAGGTAAATCACGTGGTAAATTTTTCGGTTCGTTAGTCTCAAAATTTGATTGAAAATGCTGCTAATTACATTATATTTTAAGTTATGTTTACAAACACAGAATGTAAACATTGATGAATATTTGGATAACCTCAAACTATGTGGCCTAAGTTTGTAGTGATAAAAAATTACTTAGGTTATTTTCAAAGTATGATGAAAATAGTTGTTCATCACACGTAGCGAAAGTGTTTTATTTTTGGTACTTGATCGTATTAAAAAACCCGCGATTGCGTACCAAAAATAGCTACTTTTGCTCCTTGTGATAAAACTAATACAGTTTTTTTTAAAGAATGATTGTCTTTACTGGTTTTAAAATCAAACACTAGTTATTTGTCTTAAATAATATTCATGTGCACCGTTACTAAACTAGCATAACAAAAATTGGGGAATCCTACCATATAGAAACGTTCCTAATCAGCTGGGACCCTTTTTGAATGATCATTAAGGGTTGAAGACGACTTAATTTATAGGCGATAATTAAATATAACCACTTCTATATATACCAGTCTGGGCTTCCTTGCAATAACCACTAAAATAACAGTAGCATGTTTCACTTTCTCATAGTTTTTTATTCCAAACATGATGCGATAATTTATTTTATAAGTTGTGTGCATCACTTCTTAAACGATCGCCAGCCAAGAATCTCACCTGCTCACGTGATAGTCAACAAGCGATGGGGCTAAATATTTGCAAGGTGTGAAAGGATGCCAAGGTTGTGCCTTAGGGGTGGCGGCGTGAGTAGGACGTTTCTTATCTGCTCAGCAAGTAGTCCGACACAGCTATCTAGATCCTCATCAATTAGTTATCATGTTTCGCACCCATCGTTTCCTAGACTATAAGAAGCTCGGGATATTCGCGGTGTGTGTTATCATCGTGGACTATCTCACTGGGAACAGGGCGAGGGAAATGTGAGTACAAAATTAATTTATTTAGTAGGCATTTGTTTCTTTTGCATGATTACAAACAACACTTACAACACATAATCAATGTATGAATTTTGCGTTGATTTTACCTACGTGTCTTCTTTTAAGGATACTTTGGTATTGTACCGGCATAATAATCACCAACCCTTAGGTTAGGTTAGGTTATGTTAACCTAACAGAACATAACATAACGCAACGAAATGTTTTAATCAACTCAAGTTTAAGTATGTCGGTATAATACCAAAGTACCCTTGCAATAACGATATTTATACCTGAAATTATTTTCTAACTAGTATAAAAAAATAGTTCTGACTAGTAAGTAAATCGAAAGGTTAAAGTTGGTCAAAGCTTCAAGTTTTTTCACCAGTTTCCGCTGCAGTGATATTGTTGGTACCTGAGCTTCTTTGCTACTTAAACATGTTTTAGTTTAACGTCAATTTCGATAATTTTAGTATATTATAATTGCTCTTACATCTAAGGAAGATTCATTATAATCAGCAGAATTTTAGGCTCTATTTACATGTGCAACGTTTCCTTAATACAAATTAAGTTGTTACAATCATCTCATTTCAGTAAATAGCTAGATAAAATATTTTTTGTTTTCTAAATCGTAGGCTTGCAACTAGTCACATGATCTAGCAGACATTATGATTCATACGAAATTGTGTTAATTGTTTTAAAAACCACTAAGCAAACATAATACTATTAAAAATATATATACAATATATATACCTAAACTATTATTAACCAAAATCATTGATTTCTTATAAACAAACACTATTAGGGTATTTTAAACTATTGGGTCTGATCTCATTGAAGTGGAATGTTTGATAACCAATCATTAGACGAGTAATATTTAATATTGGACACCTGTTATTAAATGGGATACGTAAATTCAAAACATATTTTCTACCTTTAAAATCAATAATTACTCGTAATAATCAGTACAAACATCGGTAGGCCTTGGCACAATAAATATTATGATTGACGCTTTTGCAAAGAATAATGAATCTATGAAAACTAACTACTTGACATTAATTTGTGTTGTTTGTCATGTAAAGCATTCATAAAAATGGTTATTACACTGTTTCAATACAATGACAATGTTTAATCAGTTCTTTTTCATTAACCCAATGTATGTATTTGATTAAAGTTACTTTAGAATCTCTTTGAAATCGTGTTTTCCCATAGCATATTAACATAGTGATTAATTTTAAATATAAAACTGTATGACTCTAAGACCTGGATGAAATTCACATTAAGCTTTATCGAATCGAACATTTACGGATTATTTTAGGGAAACCTAACAACAAGTATTGATAATAATTATTTGATAACAAGAAGTAATAGTCCTACTCTTTATGAGAACTGCTTTACTATTTGTTGGCTAGTGGGTCAATAAACAGAACCAATATAATCGTTACGCTTATTCTTTTTCGTAATTCAAAAACAAAATATATTTTAGAAATGTACAGTTCTGCATTGACTCAACTAATTAAACAAATGGAGGTCATTGGATTGTTTATTGGTTCTAGGGGAACATTATCAACATTTTTGTGAACTTTTGGGAACCATATGATTTGGACGGATCATTTTTGAATATTATTATACATTAAACATTAAGAGGTACATCGACTCATTTATATGACAAAAAATCTAAATTAATCAGTCTTAATATATATGAGGTTACATTACCTTAATCGCCAAGTGATCCATGTAAGTCCAAAGAATAGGATTACGTGCGTTTCGACGTCAACGTGCCATTGTCAAATCTTACAAAAACTTGTCTAAACCATGGTCTCATCACAGTCTTCCGACACACACGTACAAAACACATTACCGGTACAAAGATACATTTGAAGTAGGCCTACTAACTAATCAGTCGAGTCTCGGTATTCGAGCAGATCTGTAATATGTGACGACCGTTTACCACGAATCAGTTAGTAGGCCTACTTCAAATGTATTTTTGTACCGGTAATGTGTTTTGTACGTGTGTGTCGGAAAGACTATGACGTAACCACATGGTTTAGACAGGTTTTTGTAAGATTTGACAATGACACTTTGACATCGAAACGCGCGTAATCCTATTTTTAGACTTACATGGATCACTTGGTGATTAAGGTTATGTAAACTCATATATATTATATCACAGTGATACAGAAAAACAACATACAACATGAAGTAATCAGTCTTATAGCTGTTATAATCTTTTAATATCCAAGCGTATATTTTTCCGTGTCATTGGTAACGTTATTTTTAAGGCAGACGTGTTTATTTTTATTAATAAATGATTTTCTCTCGCTCAATTTAAGTTCTGTTTGAGAGGTGTTTCGAAATAGATTTTGCCCCAAGGATGGCAGGCTATAAATAGTCCTCGAGTTACGCGATTTCGCCTTGCGTGCAACTTTACGCATCTCCTACCTATAAAGGAGGTCCTTAAATCTCCTTTTTTATGTCCCACATTCACATCCTAGGACGATAGTTCAAGCCCAGAACTGTTGTACACATTATTTTAGGCTAGTCCTAGAGGGTTGCGGCATCATCACATGGATACCATTGTGATTGGTGGGATTTGAACCCGGGACCTCGGGCACCGAAGCCCCGCGCTCTACCACTCTCCCACCTTACCTTTATACAACTGGTTGACATAGGGTAAGGGAAAAAGGCAAACATCAATCAAATAAATGAAACATTGGAATTTTTAGTTGTGAAATAAATACCGGATATATATTTTTTTATGATATAGACTACTAAACACACGCTGGTGCAAAAAAAAGAGTGTTAGTTGGAGAGAAATCAAAAGTTGGAACGCGGGAGCAAGATCAGGGTGTAGAAGGGGAAGGTTGGTCGGGACGAAGATTTGAAGAGGGTTTATTTTGAGATTAATTAACAAATTTATATATTTAAGGATGGCCGCTGAAGTTCTGACGGTTGGCAATATGCTGTACTACGGCATACTGTTGGTGGGTGGAATGTTTTGCTGGTTCCAATGGCGGTACAGAGATCTAATCAGGGTGGCTACCAAGCTTCCAGTCACCTTCCCTACAATACCGCTGCTAGGACATGGCTACCTCTTCTGGGGATTGGATGGTGAGTAGAAAAATTCAAAATATTTGGAGATACAATACAAACTTGTTGGGATGCAATTTTTATGAACGTTGCTTTTTGTAAAACACTTTGGATACACAGTTTTTGTATTTTTTTAAGGTACGCTTGTGCTGTATGGATAAAAACCCCAAGAAAACTTATCAGTTTGTATTTTTATTGGCTTCTGGATGATGAAGTAGAAACTTACTCTTTGAGGACCAGCTATGACCTACTTATTATTAAAACAAGAAGATGGTTAGACGTTGTAAAATTTTTACAGAGATCCCGCTGCCGTTAAAAAAAAACATTTTATTCCTTATTTTTTGTTGATAGTTTATGTGAGATTATGGATGTTATGGTTTTTTTGAAGTAAGTTGCCTTTCGGCTTGGCTAAGTTAAACAGTTACCAAATCCTACAAAAATCTGAATCTTTTATCAGCACAGTGTGTTAGAGGCTGAATCCAACTACACTCTTTTTATCTTGGAACTGGATATAATTTAGCCATGGAAATTTAATGTTTTCTCTAGTCAAAGAATTGTTGACATAAAAAATATATATCACAGATTCATACAATTCAATAAAACAATTTAACTGGTTCTTGAAAAAAACTCTTTTGAAAACTTGCAATCTCTTAAAATACTATAATAAATATTAAAATAACAGAAATTATAAACGCTTAAAATTAATTATTAATTGTTCGTAATTAAAACTGTGGAGAAACTACTAAAAATATCTTGCGTCAATTAATCTAAAAAATACCATTCCATTATTTCAGCACTACTAATACCATCCCACAAACATGGACAGTCTAGGTACTTTTAGCTTTGTTAGTTTATTTTAGTTTCATATAACTTAAATTATGCAAAAACTTTCCCATTATCATTCCTATGTGTTGTGTAATATCAACATGCAAGTATCGTACTCATTATTATTATAGACTAAGAAAGAAATCAATGTTATACCGTAGTTCTAATAGTACGCAATTCGATTCTATTTTTACATTAGATGAACAAATGTATCAAACAATTGTTATAAACAATAGTTTTATGAATTACCGAAAGACTGATTTTTTTTTTTTTATTTTTAGCGGGGTCCGCAAACTTGCTGGAGATGTCCCGGAGAGCTATAGAGAAAAGTATAAGTACAATCTGTTTGTGGGTTGGACCACTGCCTCTCTTGATTGTGCATGAGTACGAGGACATTCGGGTAAGTGTTAAACAATTGTGAAATTAACCTTAGATTTAATTAAAATATTTATAATCTTGTAAATTTTATAATCTTGTAAATTTTATAATCTTGCAAGGATTATAAAAATACTGAAGTTGTTTTAGAAACATAAGGTTTAATTTAACTGTCAGCGTCCCTGATGGATTAGATTGATTAGATAATATTGAATGTATTTTATATTTTTCCAGACTATTATGAACAGTGCAAAAACCATAGACAAATCAGACGAGTACGAATTCTTCAAGGAAGGTCTAGATAGTGACGTTGGACCTTTGGTGTGCAGTATTTTGCTATCTCCAGGTAAAACAAAAACTAATGCAATAATAATTGTAGTTTTATTTTGTCTATAATCACAAACAAGCCACTCTTGTTAGTACACCAAATCTACTAATAATGCAAGAAAGTATTTAGTAAAACTCTTATGTGACGCTAGTTGCATAAAAATATCTGTTTTACCAAACATTTTCTCAATAATTTATGATATATCATGAATGAACATTGATACTGTCCAAACTAACCACATTTACACCAGGTAAAATTAATACTACAGTGGAACCTCGATAACAAGTCGCCCTTGATTAAAAGAGCCATTTTCAAATCCCCATGCATTTATCTTACCCCCTCACATGTTATCAAATCTCAATAGGAAGTCGCCTTGATAACAAGTCTAATTTAGTAATCGGATCGAGAGTCTTGTTATCGAGTTTCTACAGGATTTTTGCGTTTTCATACTATTATAGTAATCGTAGGAGTAAGCCCCTGCAATATTACTTTATACATTGTTTACTTACAGTATGTCACTAGATAAGGGATGATAATGGAAGAACTGTTAGTAAGTGCTAATAGTTGTTTCTTACAGCATGATCTTTTGAAATAGATTTATCTTATATAATCACTAATGTGTTTTAGGCACACAAATACACAATAGTGTGTTACTTTTATCGTATAATTAAGTTTATCTTTTTGTAATAATACAAACTTATCACTTTGTCATTGGAACGACGTATAAGTAAAAGTTATTTACACAAAAATTATTAGAGTTAAAATTAAAAATTATTAAAGTTATTAGTAAAAGGCACTGTCACAACTTCATGAAAGGCGGCTGTTCTACAGGTTAGAGCGTTGGTCTTCTTCCCTGGTGGTCTAGGTTCAAATCCTCCCAATTACCAATGGATTTTCAGCTTTATTATATATATTTTCTTGACCTGATGGAATTTATCTTCAGGTGTAGTTCCAACAATAATTTAAAATGTACGAGTCTCTGAAGAACGGAGAACTTTATTTAGCTTGTTTTTTCCTAATAGCTATACAAGAATTGATATTGATACCCTATCAACTAGCATTGTATTGTTCACTTAGGATGAGTGAGGTGGTATAGTAGTAAAGGGCTGGGTTTTGATCCACGAGAGGCAGGGTTGAAAACCACCTACGACTCTAAAATATGTGCTAAAATGTAAATCATCAAGGTCTAGATTGAAAGAATTCGTTAAGTGGTTAAAGACTAGTTCCTATCGTGCTAAGACGTGAAGGTATGACAATAAATAGTGTTATTTAATCCAACAGATTTTTGACGTGTTCATGTTCATTTTCAGGCCCCGTGTGGAAGGTGACACGCAGACACTTGAACACGATGTTCACGCCGCGTAACTTAGAACAGATGATTCCCGTGTTCAACCAGAACTCCCGTGTGCTGGTAGACCGTCTGAACGCCAAGGTGCAAGGACCCACACAGGTCAATATCGTGGACTTCACGATGGACGCTGCACTTAAGGCGGTTTGTGGTAAGTAACACTATTTAATTTTGGATACTGAAGTAAACACCCTCAAGCATTCATAGCCTATTAACTCCCGCGTTATCTTAGAGTTTATCAAGGAAAAGGTATAAAAGAAAACTATGAATGGTCGTAAACAAATTTAATGCATGAATTATATGTAATATAATTTATCGTTGTTGACATATCTTTCTTCACAGAGCTAATTAAAGGTGTTATATAAATGGCGAGAATGCTAAACTATTGACGCTCTGGCATACTATGCAGATCAATACCTTTTTCTTGTAAATCGGCAAGGCAGCACTCATTGACTGTGTTCCGTTCTTTAGTCATGTCTTTGATTTCCTAAACATATGTTCACAGATTTCCTGTTTGGAATCGACAACAAGATTGACATATACTCTGAAGATTTCCAAGGTTTAAAGAAAATAGTTGACGGGTACAGTACCAATAAGCTATGTTTTCTTAAAATAATAGATAACACATAAAAGTTTCCGAAGCATATTATATTTTTGCTATTTGCTTGTATAGCTTAAAAACCAGATTCCTATGTGCTTTGTTATTGTTTTCATGGGGTTTTCCACTGAAGCTTTTTTTGAAGTCAGAACCGTAATAACCATACACTCTAGTTAAAATGGCGATTTAAAAGTCCGTGTGGTAATTAAATGGTACTTTGGAGGGGGTTAAATAATTATATGTGTAAATAGTGTGAGTTTGCTGCACATGAGAGAGAAATGTTTACGCACGATCCGCAGGCGAGTGTGGAGAGTTTCTTAAGCTGCACCTCAAAGGCACTTTGCACTCGCGTTACACGTTATATTTTTCCTACAGTTACTATAAAGCATATAAATAATTAGTCTTGCAAACACTATACAACATTAGTTTTTACATTAGTTTGTATCATTAGTTTTTAGGTAAGGTTAATTTCAAACGTTGAATGAAATGGGAAACGCTACACTAGCTGATCGCAGTCGTAGTATCTTTAAGTGATCCCAACTTATTTTAAAGCGTACACGTATTACGTTCCAAATAAAAGCACACCAATTTTTGTTGTTTGGTTAGAATACTGGAGTACAAAAAAAAAATGAGTGTGGTAAAAAGAAAAACAGTGTGGTAAAAGTAAGTAAATGCAGCAATTAGCTACTTTGCTTTGTTCTGTGCAAGGAAGTCCACTTTGTCAGGTAACTGTAGTAAAACGTATTTTGTTAAATTTGTGATTGTATGTGACTGATATATCTAGTAAAATATTGTGTTTAAATGTTTTATAGGTTGACAGAAACGTTCGTGAAGCGAACAACTCAGCCGTGGCTTAGATGGTATCCATTGTTTTATTTCCTATACAAGAAAACACTAGAAAAAAACAATCGCCTTTTTAAAACTTTCACCTCTAAACATTTAAAGGTAAAATATTTATAAGTTAATAGCTGTAAGTTGATAACTAAAGTAATTTACAATTAGATGTTCAGGTCATTATCAAGATTACAATACAAGGTTTAACTATTCCATTCTTAATCTAAACGTTTAACAGTTAGTAATCAAATGATGTTTCAGTAACATATTATTTAATTTTAAGTTTCCTTTAATGTGCTACAAAACTCTATATCTTGACTGTGTTCTTAAAAAATGCTGGTAGCTTTAAATATTTTCTTTGTTCAAATAATGTGACTATTATTTAATGGATAAAGTAATGTGTGGCTTAAGAGCAATAAATAATTGTGTGAATAGTTGATGGACTAATACATTCCCAAACATATAAAAGGAAATGTATATATTTTATATGTGTTAACTTACAGGTTTTAAATGTAATTTAAATGTTTTTTTTCAGTACACAAAAGAACAGTATGAGCTGAAAATTAGAAACTCACAATACAATGAAGATCTAGAAAGTGAGCGACAGGAGCCTCTGAATATAATAGAAGTTTACACACCTTTCCAGAAGAAGAACCCACAGTTTCGTGAAGCGGACATGTGGGGAGAAATGCTGACTTTGTATGAAACGGTAATTATATACACTTATCTGTACTAATATAGAGTTTTGTTAGTTTAAGATTACTAGCGTTTTTTGCTGTGCGATATTATGGTGTTACAAATACCAATAATTAGTTTTCAGCTAGCTTATGTACATAATACAAGTTAAGAGATTTCTGTATTAGTACCTTGTAACGTTAACGTAAGAATTGATGGATTGTTTATGTTAAAATAACCATGCTAATAATTTACATAGGTATTGATCAAAGTAATGTTCAAAAATAGCTCTGTGTTTCAATGCACTGATAATGGTCCAATATATTGACTTTTACACAATTCAGCAAAGGATTTGCACACCTATTAAAGTTATGGATTAACGGGATATTGAACGAGGACTTGAACTTTGTAAGACATCAATAAGGGAGACAAATGTTTTCTCATTTTTGGTATTCACTATTCCAAACACTATTTTTAATTTAATTTTTGAATGTATAATGATTTCCCAGGGACTTTGTAAATATAATGTGTTTAATTCGCACATACCACTTAACACTCTTGTTAGTTTGATAGTTTTATATCACTTTAATGAATCAGCGGCAAAAGGATCCTGTCTTCTGGGGTGTTAACAACAACATTTCAACATGAAGGTCAAGAATTTGAAAACAAATTACATATATATGTAGTTACATATATATATCTGTTCAATCAAAGACATTGTAACTGTTACAGGGTAGTGACTCAGTGGCAATCACAGCTTCATATTGCCTAATGGCTCTGGCGCAACATCCTGAATACCAGGTAAGTAACGGACTTTCCAGTTTTGACACAGATTTTTTTCCTAGTTGAAATTCAAAATATAAACCTTTTAAGGTTATTGTTTTTAAAATGTTGGCAAAGCATTCAACTTAAAACCCAAGCATCTTAATCAGGATCAACAGCACCATATTTTCACTTTGGCGAATAAATCTAGAATGCTGTTGCTGATGGCACGAATTAAACTTATTCCCTAATATTCGTATAATACATTTGGGTCTGATGAATGCAATTAGGTTAGTTGAGTCCGGTTAATGAAAAAAACGTAATGTACCTGCGGACTAAAGCAGGTAAACGCACTTGTAGAATACTATCATTCACGTTTTGTAGAATTTGATTACACGCCCTAAGTTACGATTATCCACACTTCAATCCTTCGTATACCGTATTTTCAATTAATAAAAATGTATGGTAAAAGAATATCGTGAGGGAATACTTTTTACTTGAAACATATTTTACTAATTTGAACAAATACGAGAAGTGCTAGATTAGTTCGCCGTAGTCTGTCATTAACCTGTTAAATTATGAAAATTAACTTGTGTTGTTGTTTTTTTTTACAGGAGAAAGCCTACAACGAGATCATGTCTGTGGTTGGTCCGGATGATGACGTCACGACGGATCACGCCAAACAGCTGACCTACCTCACCCAGTGCATCAAGGAGACCCTAAGAAGGTTCACGCTAGTCCCCTACCTTCTTCGCAGGGCTTCGGAGGATCTCAAACTGAGTATGTATAAGAAATATAGATGGATAAGTATTAAGAACACTAAGCACTGAGAGGTATGTAAGCATACTTCTTTCTCTTGGATAAGTAGTAACACTGTTGCCATCGTTGGAGATTCCTTGTCCTCTTTCGTTTTCAGTAACACTGTCATTTTACCTCTCATGTGATGTGTGTAGATTATTTTCTTTTTAACTAAAAAAGCGTATAGTATAACTACCAGTTCAAAGGGTTTGTGGCAATAACAATGTCAAAAAAGCCTTTCAATTGAAAATGTTTGTACTTTTGTCAAATGAAATCTTTTTGCACATAGGATATTGATAAAGTAACAAGGGCATTCTCATTACTTAAAGGAGATTTTTCTTAAGAGACAGGTGATATCATATGTCAAATTTACGTATTTTTTTCATACAATCCATTACATTTATGAAATTTAGTTTAGATAGGCCTAATGTAATTTGTCCAATAATTTCAACTTTTCAACATTTGTTAATACTTTGTAAATTTAATGCTCACGACTTCTTGCTAAAACCATAAATTCAGAAAACCACTAAATGAATCAATAAAATCCACTCGAAGTTTCAGAATCAAAAACTGTATTTTTATAAGGCCTGTATAACAACCTGAGAAATATAAAAGTTTTTTTGAACGGGCCAGAAGGATTAAGATATGAACTGATCAAAAAATTTTAATTTAGTAGCGGTAACATTACAAATATAAACATTTTACGTCAACGTGGGTGGGCCAAAACGTGTCATAATCCAAAAGGTTTTCAAAACACGATCTAGAAATAGTTTTCTTTCATGACCTTTCTGTATAATCTCAGCTCGGTATGTTTGGTAGTTTTTTTTTTGCGTTTGCTTGGAGCAAAGACATTCCCAGAAACAATTTGTATTTTAAAATGTTTTACATTGTCTTTCATCAATCAAACAAGCTTTACCAACATAATCTTTCGTTTCACAGGTGATTGCACAGTACCAGCTGGCCACACTGTCATCATGTCTATATATGGCATCCACATGAACCCTAAGCTTTACCCAGATCCTACACGTTTTGATCCAGAACGGTTCTCGCCTGAAAACTCTGCTTCTAGAGACAAGTTTGCCTTTGTTCCCTTCAGTGGTGGCCCACGTGATTGTATTGGTAAGTATCTTCAATTTACACTTACTGTCAGGAACTTATAAAAGAGATAGGTTGCATGTTCTTGAAAAATACCCAAACCAAGTAGTAGTTGGTCTACTTATGATTTTACCTCTAGTGATTTATTGCCAATCATTGTGTGGACTGTATTTTCACTGAAACGCCAATATCGGATCTATTAGGTTAAATTATAATTAAATGGTATTCACTTTAATATTTTAAAGTTATGGAACAATTTCAACCCTCAGAATCCATTGAATATAAATAAACCACCGGAAGTAATGCTAATTTAAAATTGTTAACAATTCCTCTCACAAAATTGTAGCCCAAGTAGAAAATATTCCTGTTAGTTGTATACTAATACAAAACAAAAAAAATAACAGTTTGAATTTGAATAACACTTGATACTTTTTCCTGTGTTTAGGTAAGGAATACGGCTTGCTGTTTGCGAAGGTGATGCTGTCAAATATCATGAGGAAATACAGAGTAAAACCAGTGGTGGATATTAATAAGCTGCGCAGAAGACTGGCTGTAGTTCTCGTCAGTGGAGAAGGCTACAACATGATTTTGGAACCTAGGAACGCCTAAACTGAAGTTAATGCTGAAATTGAAAGACAGAAGAAAACTCTCGATTTTTTTTGCAAACAGCTATTCGAGTAACTGGTGCGGAAAGTGGTACTTTGCTGCTCCTGAGAGAAATTGCGGAAAGTTACTCGCGTGCTGAAAAGAGACTTTGCAATCGTGTCATACATTATATCTTTCCTACAGTTACTATAAAGCTTATAAATAATGGGTAGGATGTACAGGTTAACCTTTACTATGCAGTTTTACAAGTTACTGCAATCAATTCAAATTTAAATAAATCTGCTCACAAACTGATCAAAACCTAAATGAAATTGTATCACAAATCTGCAAAAAAGGCCCGCATAAAATTTATAAATGTAGAATCAAAAGCTGAATACAAATTTTGGTTTGTATTTTTTTTATGTTAAAACGCAACCACATGTTTATAATCAATTTCATGGTGTTCATTATTTGCACACATTTTACACTTGTTTGTGTTGTTTGGTTGAAATACTCGAGTGCGGGAAAGTAAAATGAGTGCGGGAAAGTAATAAATGCAGTAACCAGCTACTTTTCGTAATATAGTCAGTGCAAGAAAGCCCACGTTGTAAAATAACTGTAAGAAAAAGATTGTAAATTTAATATTGTAAAGTTTATATTTATACTGCTAGTTTGTAAATAAAAGAGCATAGCAAACTTATAGTTGATTTTGGCTTGAACTGTATGTCTCATAATCAACGTATTGTAAATAAAGTTTTAATATTTATTGTATCGATGCAAAATAAAGAGCCGTCATTGTAATAAGATTTACTAGTCATTATTATTTTTTGTAAAAAGAACATCTACCTTTGCATGTTATATCATACCTTGGTGCCATTGGGTAGTCTATAAAGTTTACATTTTTTAATTTAAATTTACTATTCGCGGTACAACTTATTGTGTTTGTGATGTCACCAATGACAAATTGTGAGAGCATAGTAATCATTTAATAAAACACCAGTTAAGTACTACAAGGATGTTTAATTTAATTTAATTGATTCAATATCTTCTTACTCATTACCAACTAACTTAATCTTAGACATGAAATTAAATCTTATCTCATTTAATGCAATCCTAGTTCAATAGATCCATTCCAATTGAATATAATAGTTTTTCTTCTTATTTCATTTAATCTAAATCACTTGAATTTCTCCTATAGACACACTTAATTCAATTTATTATCAGTTATTCTCATATCAAACGTTCTGAGTCCCTTTTAATATTATATTACGTTAGTTTTTTTAAGTATTTAGTTTGAAATCGGAAATTATATATTACCAACAATTCGGTTGAGACCACATCGATTTTGAAACCTAGTAACAAAATAAATTTTTTTTATTTCTTTTTAATAATATTTCGTAATAATATAAAACCATTACTTCTTTACTCTAGCACAACTGTGTTGTAAGTTGGTATGTAATCTACAAAAGATAGTCGGTAGAGAGGCACATCTTTAGCTCAGAATGATAGCAACATTTCTACGATTAACACACAGACCGAGCAATATGTTACCAACCTACCTCATATGTTGTTGAAATGTTTATTGTGCCAGAGTACAGTAATTTAGTGCGGTAAAGGTGGTACCACTACCGTACCTTCTTGGTATTGTATGTACAAACACTTGTATTTTTCTTTGAATATTTGTGTTACCTAATGGTTTTAGAAAGTATACATTTTGTCCCTCGTAGCATTAAAAAATCTAAGGATAATACGAAAATTTTGCAAAATTAGTAACCTTTGACAAAATTTAAGATAAAATAAAGAAAACGAAACTTCTGATAGGAACTTCACAATTGTAGTAATGAATAATTGTTATGAGAACATAACAGATCAGTTTTAACATGTTTAGAGAATGGTTGCAGTAACGAATTTACTCACAATGAACTCAACCGTTATGGTATAATTTTAGAGACTTTAAATAATCAGCCTATATCTTTAGGGGTTAAAATATTTTTTTTTTTTATAATTTGTAAGCCAACTTCTAACATGAATCGCTGAAGGGTTAGGGATGTTTGTACATGCTGTAAACACTATCCAGTTTTAAGCTAACGCGTTAGTGCTATTCATAATGTGTTTTGCGAACTAATTATTGCAGTAAAATTGTGTTAACAAACATACTTTGGGTTTAATCCCATAATGCCACATTGACATGATAATACGTGTAATATAATATATTATGTGTATGGTATCAATAAAACGTCTGACAGAGAATAAGCCTGATGACACTCAAGATTCTTAATAGCTGATTGTAATTATATTTACGCTACACTACATTATTTTGACGAACTTTCCACGCAATGATTTAGTCCAGAAAACAGCTGTTTGCCGCCAGCTTACTCAAATGGGGTTTCATTGCGTACTACTGTACTGTAATAAGTTTTGCCGGACACCAATCAGCTGATTATACTATATTTAGGTGGCAATGAATGGTTATAAACAAAAACATAACCTCTCTTAGAGGTTATGACTAGTAAATTTTAGTCCTTTAGTTGGTATTAATATATAAGGATTTGAACAGATTTATTAATAAGGCGTAAACTCTCGTCCAAAATGTGTTTACCGGACTCGTATGGTAATCAAATCCCGTACTCGACTTCGTCCCACTCGGGAACGACCACTCTCGTCCGGTAAACACTTATTTTCAGGACTAGTAACGTAATATACTATTTTGTGTTTATCTATAAAATCCTCATTAGATAAATTTTTAAAATCATCAATATATGAACACAATTAATATTAGCAGGTGGGGATATCAGCAGGAAAAATATTGAAAGGACTGCAACAGCCATTTTAACGTTCAATTACACTTGTCTCTGGGGGCCGATGCATAAAACTGCTCAACATTGGTAAACTACCGTTTATATGAATCTGTAGTAGATCACTTTAAACACTCTCAGACTATAATGTTCTTAGACCCTAAACTTACGGCTTGAAATAAGCAATATTTAAACTGGCTTATAGCTTTGTCCATTTTTAATTTATTTTCAGAGCTTTCAGAATAATATAAAAATGTTAATATCAAAATTCAATATTGGTTAGTATATGTATATATATATATTTTATCATTGTAAGCTAGTTTGATAAGTCCAGTGAAAACTAACCGACAATTGGCTGTAAAACCTGCTCGAAAAATAGCGCTTGTAAACGTGTTAATTTTAGTAATATCTTTGGAATCAGTGTTGCCAGTTTAAAATACGAAAAAAAACGTAAAATATCAGTTTCAGAGTAAAAAAGAGAACATAATATACTACTAAATAAGGTGGGCCTTTTAAATTATGAATATAAGGAAAGTTTATCCTAATAAAATTTTTATATAATATAGCTTACCTTTTTAACTGTTATGTTTAGTATCTGTCAATGAAAAATTTTTTCGAAAGTAAAAATATCTTAGGTAAAGAAGTTACTCTATACTAAATGAAAAATTGGATACAGTATAACCATAGACTTCTCATCCCATTGTAAATTTTGAAGCACGTTTTTCGTGTCTAGTTCATGTACGTGACACATGCGCGCTAGTGTCGACGAAACTTTGTTTCTATTATTTTAGGGTTAATCTCTTGATTTGTGCTTTACTGTTTGGTTATATAACTAGGGGACAGGTTATTGTTTATGATTAGATCGTATTATTTGGTTAAACGAGGTTTTAAATGGCTGTAATAACGGGAAACAAATTGTAAACAAAACACGACCTGTACATAAACCGTACAGAACTAACAATAAAATTGTCTTCAGCTGTTCCTTAAGGATGATAAATCTACTAATAGTCCAGTAAAATAAGACATTTTGGTATGCAAAAGGTCGGGTAGTTCTGATTTTTGGATTTTTTTTTAGTATTGGGCCCATAACATAAAATCCAAGTTATCCACCTCGAGATACTGCCGCTCGCCGCGGGGCGCGCCACTTGTTATCGGAATATAAAAAATATAGCAATTCCTACTGTTTTTCACTCAATATCGTGAACCGTTGATTTTACCGAAAAATTTAGATTATTACATTAAAGAAGAATAAATTTGTTAAACAGTTTAAGCCCAACAGCGAGTATGTAGCGTAAATAATGGTCAAAATACAGACCATCAAAATAAATAAATTTTCCAAAGTCGTATAAAAATTGTGGGTTCTTCAATATTTCCACAATATAGTTGTTTGAAGCAAACACCGTATTGATTTAGAGAGTATGCCAGTTTATTTGCTATTAATAGAAAATAAATGAAAGTATGAATAAAAATACCCCCACCTCAGCAAACCTGCAGCCTAAGCGAATTTCCATTTGCTTGATTTGATTTTCACAAACCTATTTAAATAACATTAGGTTTAACTGGTACCTAGGTTAGCTGCTACAGGGAGGGTAATATAATATTATATAAAATAATAATAGTATGACAAGAAACAAATAAATTTATCCAATTTTATAAAAATGTGTCTATAAATAAGGAAAAAAACAATAATAAACAATCTTCGCTGTTGGAATAACTTCAGGTTTTTTCATTTACATTTTTTAATTTTCTCCGTAACCAATAACTGTAAAAAACATTTCAATGTACTAAATTATTTGTTTTTAAGCTCTACAAAATTCTTTAATGATAGAATTGTAAAATTGTATGTTTTGAGGGTTAAAAATTAAAAAAAAAATTCTTACTGGCGAAATACCTATAAGACGACCGTTCCTATGGCCTTATCATGCCAATCATACTTCGCAAACTCGTTTTAATAAATAAATGTACGTTTACATTATTCAATGATTTATTTAGGCCATTAAGCAAAAGCAATAGGCTAAGTCACTTACAATGCAAAGTAAATGTTAAATAGTCCATCTCTTGATTCACAAATAAAAGTAATGTTTGTACCAAATTCCACTAAATCGGATGATTTTTGGGAATCATCGTGCTAACGGACGATAATAACTTTTTTGGATACAGTTTAGTAAAATCTTTAGCTTTTTTGGATACAGGGTCTCCAAAAAACTCACCTAGTTTGAAAATTAATTT